TTTATCTTTTATTTCTATTTTAAAGAAAATATAGATAAATGCATAATTAAACTATACCAAAAATAAATTTTCAATTTAAAAAAATTTTAAAAATAATAGCAATTATTTTAGTACTGATAGAATAATAAATAAGCTTCCTTTTTTTTTTCTTCATTAACAAAGCTTTATTGGAAATTTATGTTTTGGGATAAATATTAGAGCTTTCTTTAAATGGAATGTCAACACGCGTTTCTTAATTTCTCAATAGTTTATGTAAATGATAGGAGCATCTGAAAAATGGAACCTTAAAACGCGAGACACCGACCATTTCACATTTGACATTCCTGTGATTATTCGGCATCCATTATTGAAACATACGCCTCGTTGGTTCTGACTTCTGCGTTCGCAGAGAATGGACGCTGGTTTAATTGGTTGCCTATATCAGTGGCAAAAGAATCTCAGAAATACCATCATGTGACCTGCTAAAACCATCAATCCGTACCTAAATCAAGCTTCGGGGATGCACTAAATATGTTTGAAGGATACACGATATTTTTCATTCTTAATTATTGTTTTTAAGATTCTCCTGCTTTTTAATTTAAATTATATTAAATTATAAAAAAAAATTATTGAATGAGAAATATCTCTTAACATTAAAAGGTCCATATGTATTCAATGATTTAAATTGTATAACTCACACTGAACAACATTTTTTTCTTTTTCAAGAGACTTTTTAACATGTGTTCTTATATATAAGTTAATGGTATAATAAATTACAATTTTATCATATATTTGTATTAAAAAACAAAAAAATAACATTTAATATTTGTCAACTATTTAATTACATTCATCTACTTAGCACTAATATTAAAATTAATGTTAGTTTTTATATTTTTATATACATTTATGACAAAAAAAATATGCCCTTAACTTGTGTCAAGGGCACATATTTAAAAAATTATTTTTAAAATTTTTTCCACATCCTATATGTATAAATGTTAGTGTTTATCAACTATATTTGTAAAAAATTAAATAAAAAAACTTTAAAACTATATCATTTTGATAAAATATCACAAGAAAAAAATCAAAACAACATCATTTTTAATTTTTTAAAGAAAAGTTATTTTAGTTTTTTAATAAAAATTTATGAAAACGATATAATTATAAAGTATTTTTAATTATTTTTTTTTTTTACAAATCTAATGAATAAATATTTTTTTAACATAGATATTTGATGGTGAATTGAGGATAAATATTTTTCATTTGTGATTATTGTTTTAAATCTTCCATCCAATTAAGGTCTAATTACAAGACGAAAAAACAAGTTTTAGGCTTTAATTGCAACTAAATTGAAGGTAGATTGAAAGATTTAGTTGCTTATTTGAGGATATTAATTTTTCTGATCCACAAATATTAGTAGAACTAGAAAGTTGACCATTCTTAAACGGACATCATTTCCACATGTGCTAGTAGACAAACATTTTTTTTATTTTTTCTAATCTCCAGGACAACAGTGTGTACTGCCCCTGAACCGCGTAGGAAACATCTATATATCACCGAGTTTGCAGGCCTTTTCCTCCAACTAATCCGGAATCAATCGCACTCTCCAGTCTACTTTCAAGGTAGGCTTTTCAACTACCCCTCTGAAACTCAGCTCTCAATTCTCATCTCTATCTCCTGAGATATTTTCTGATGTCAAATCTGATCTATTTTACTCTGAACATCAAATGGATGTTCTGATCTTCTCAAACTGATCTACCTAAATATGAATAATGGGTTTCTTTTCTTCTTTCTTTCTTTTTCTCTGCTTAAACTTAATTAGGTTCTGAATTCCTTTTTCATTTTGATCATTTAATTATTTTTTCGTTTTGGTGCAATTCTTTCATTTCTTTAGTACTGAGAAAAGCTGATACATATATTAATATAAAGATAGCTTGTAATAGGAGCTAACTTTGAATAATTACTTGCATCTACTCAGATTACAGAGATCTAGCTGAACAGAAAATTAGAAAAACAAAATTTATAAAGAAAGAACAGAAGCTCCTGCTGCAATGGAAATCCCATCAAGCAAATGGTTACCTGAATGGGTAAATATTCTTAGAAAACCATTAATTGCTATAGAAGTTTAATCTGTTTGATTCTAATTTCTTATGAAAAAAAAATTGTCTGTGGTGATTTTTATTTTTCAGGAAATGGAGGATTCTACTTTGTTCTCTCAATACCAAATGAACCCTATGGACTATTGTTTTGATGATAATCTCAATTTCCAATCTTTTTCATCTGAGAGCCACTCCTCTTTTTCCAATATCAATCCAGAGATGAGCTCAAAGAACATCTCTAGTTCTTATAATATTGAAGCCTCTCAGGTCACGGAAGAAGACATCAAAAGACCAGTGAAGCAGCTCAAGACGAGTAATAGCAGTTGGGAGAGCTCTTGTGTGGGTAAACAAATAATATCAAAGCCTTCTGCCTCTGCATCCTCCCAGATAATCTCTTTCGAGAACTCCAAATCATCCCCAGCTATTTCCCAGCAGTATTGTGGGGATCTAAACTATGCTGTGAATTATAAGAATGAGGTGAGCTATACTTTCTAAATAATATTGGAAACATATGAAATGAAATTCATTCCCATACCTTTGGTTAATTTCTTGAATTAATTGTTATTTTTGGAAAAAAAAAAATATGGGCAGAGTACCAAGAGAGTCGGTTCAATGTCTAGGAATCCTCTTCATGCTCAAGATCATGTGATAGCCGAAAGAAAGCGTCGCGAAAAGCTCAGCCAGCGGTTCATAGCTCTCTCTGCTCTTCTTCCTGGCCTCAAGAAGGTAAAATCAACATCATTTTTTGTTGTGATGATTGAATCAATCATTTTTTTCTCATGATTTTAGAACATGTATCTGCAGGCAGACAAGGCTTCTGTGCTTGGAGATGCTATCAAGTACGTGAAACAACTACAAGAGCGAGCGAAAATCCTTGAGGAACAAGCAGCCAAGAAGACGATGGAATCAGTAATATTCGTGAAGAAAACCCAAATTCATGCAGACGATGAGACATCCTCATCGGATGAAAACTTCGACTGTCAACCAACTTACTCATCTCTCCCTGAAATCGAAGTTAGAGTTTCAGGCAGGGACGTTCTCATTAGAATCCACTGCGAAAAAACCAAAGGATTTCTGACAAACGTACTAAACGAAATTGAAAAGCTTAACCTGTCTGTCGTCGGCAGCAATGTCCTGCCATTCGGCCGAACTACAGTTGATATAGCAATTGCTGCTCAAGTAATTAATTCTATTGATTCATTTTCAACATATATTATTTTTCTGTTATATTCACAATTAGCGAAACAAGATTTTTATTAACTGGGGTTTTATTAATGATAATGCAGATGGATGATGAGTTCCCAATTACAGCAAAGGATCTTGTGAAAAGCATACGGCTGGCTTTGAAAACTTGATTCGTTTTGGAGAAGATCAGAAATAAGTTTTTTTAGGACAAGTTTTTTTTTTTCTTTTTTCTTTTTTCTCTGCAATTTCTTCTGTTCTCACTACAAATTGTTTTGAGTCGGACCAAAAAAAGAACCTTAACTAGGACTATGTGATTCACTTCCAATCAGATGTTTTTTTTCTGATTGATCTGCAGGAGAGTTTTTGTGGGTGTTTTTTTTTAATTGTGGCTGACTTGTTTTATTACCACATTGAAATCACCCACGTGCTTCTTTTCTTGTTCTTTTTTTCTTTTTTTTTGAGAGGTTTGGACCTTCAATGATGACCTTTTTCACCGTATAATGTCGTCATTTTTTCCTTCCTGCGAAGTTGGAGATGAAACATAGGACCAGTTTTTGTCTTTGAGGTTTGGTCTGGGTTTTCAGGGTTCTGATTATGTTGTCTCAGGCCTGTGATGTAAAATTTCCTTGTGATTCTGGCTGTGCCTTGTTATACAATATCTTACCTTTTTTATTAATTAGTAATTCTTTGCCTTGCTTTTCTTTTTTCTTTCATTTTTTTAAAAAATTACAGGTGGAAACTTATTCGTCTTTTAATTTAAAAAATTGATTCACATTATTTAAATGTATGTGTTTGTCAATTGAACATGTGAAGAACGGCCAGATTAAACAAAAATGTAATAATTAATCTTAGGTGGGTATCAATCATTGGGAATTTCTTAATTGAAACTTGAAGGTACTCCTTGGTGGATAAGGACGGGAGGCAATCCAACCGTCCCCACCAAATGATTTCCAAATGCAATTATTGGTTGGAAATTATATAAATATACTATTTCATATTAGAAGCTACCATTCCCAAATGACATTATATGGAAAATTGTTTAACAAATGGTTAAGTAATTAAATTTTGGTTAAATGTTAATTTTGATACTTAACTTTAAAGTTTTGTATAGTTTTTGTCCTTCACTTTTTTTACACATTTTTTTTTAATTTTTCAACCATAAAAAAGATATGCTTTTTCAGCCTTTCGTTCCTTATTTAGCTAATAAAAAATTAAAGAAAAGAGAAGGATAGGGGAAGAATATGACTCCATTTTCCTTCCACTCCCCTCCATTTCTCTTGTAGAAGATGGGTAGGTCTTTAAAAAAATAAAAGAAAAAAAAACAAAAAGCCAAGTTTTGGGAGAAAGATCAAACGCCCTAACCCTAACTAAATCTCTTTGTAGAGATAAAAAATGGGTCTTAGAGTTAGAGTTGAAAGAAAAAAAAAAATGCCCCTCATCAGTTTTTCTCTAGTTCTGCTTTCGTATTTTGGAAAGATATGAATATCATGTTATATATTGTACGAAGCATTATACTTTTATTAAAAATCATTATACATATGGTATTATTGTTTTA